CCAGCGTTGCTGAGACCAATGTACTCCGACTCAGTTGATGAGAGGGCTACCAGAGATTGTCGCTTGCTTGACCATCCAATCGCACCTCGGTTGCTGATGAAGACAAACCCAGAGGTTGAGCGAGAAGTGTCATGGTCACCGCACCAGTCTGCGTCCGAATATCCGTGGAAGTCCATGTCGCCGCTAACATCTGATCCGTCAAACCGAAGTTCGCAATCGGCCGTGCCCTTGAGGTAGCGCATGACCCGCTTTGCCATCTCCCAGTGATGGAGCTTTGGATTTGCTGAGTAACGACCTAGTACTCCAACAACATAGGAGAGGTCAGGGCGAGTGCCTTGTGCGGCGTACATGAAGGAGCCAACAACGCTTGCATAGGACACTTCATGACCTTCAATGGTATAGGTATGGTACGTCCGGTTGTCATCAGGATCGTCAGAGGAGGGCTTGGCACTTGTAGCCATGGGCATTGAGACAGGTTTGCAATCTGCCATACCGTACCGCTTTAGAACGGTGTTGATGTACTGCTGCTGGGAGAGACTAATTGTACGGCGAACCCGGTCATGACGAACTTCAATACCAAGGATGTAGGATACTGGTCCCAGGTCTCGCATCTTGAACTGGGCCGCAAGCATTGCTTTGACCTCGTCCATAAGATTTCGGGACGTAGCGGCAAGTAGAAGGTCATCGACATAGACACATAAGAAGCAGACCTGCCCGTTCGCCTTTCGGTAGACATAGAGGCAGGTCTCTGAGTCCATACGCACAAAACCGAGTTTGGCTAGCTTGTTGTCGAGGGTCTGATTCCATGTGCGACCAGCTTGCTTCAAACCATAGAGCGAACACTTGAGACGCCAGCAGTGGCCAGGTTCTATAGGGACACCTTCAGGTGGGGAGAGATAGAGCTCCTCGAGTAGTTCACCATTGAGGTATGTGGTAGAGACATCCATTTGGTCACATTCTAGGTCATAACGCGCTGCCAGGACAAGTAGGATGCGAACGGACTCAAGACTTGCAACTGGGGCGAAGGTGTCCTTGAAGTCACGTCCAGGCATCTGCGTGAAACCCTGTGCTACAATGCGCACTTTGAACCGCTCGACATCACCATTCTTGTCGTGCTTGACGCGGAAAACTGGCTTGGAGGAGATAGGTTTGACACCAGATGGGGTAGGCACAGTCTCATAGACGCAGTTCTTACGGAGGCTCTGAAGCTCTTCCTCGAGTGCTGCTCTCCAATGTTCACCATAGGTTGACCGAAATGCGCTCGCAAGGTTCATAGGCAGTTCATGGTTCTGAGGACCAGTACTAGAGATACCCGCAAAGTACACTGCGTCGTCGTCATTGTCCTCAGCTTGCGCTTCTGGGAGTGGTATGTCAGGAATGTGCTCATGTACAGCAGGATCAGGGACCGGTCCTAGATCTGGTGAAGGCTGTTCTGGAGGTACTGGACTGAGCGGTGGTGCTGGAGGTACTACTGGAGCTGCCCGCTGTTCACGCCTTGCCTGATTTCACTGTTGTTCCTCCCGGATTGCACGCTCATAGTTTGCATTAGGGTTGGCAGGTTTGCGAGCACGGACTGACCGTCGCGCACCTGCAACTGGTTGCACTGGAGCTGGTCGTGGAGGTGTTGCTTGCACTAGAGGCGCAGGTGCGGGTTGTACACGGCGTGGGATGCGAGATGGCGTCTCAACAGCGGGTGCAAGTGGTGCTCCCACTGGTTCTGCAATGGGTGGTGGCATGCCTCCCACTGGTTCAGCAGGGGGTAAGACGTCTCCCACTGGTTCTGCGGCTGGTGCAGGGGGAAGATCGTCTATAAGTACAATGGGGCGACTTTGCCTCATGATGTCATCGTACATGCCAGGCGTAGATGCGTTAGGTTCAGCGAGGATTTCACTTGGGGGCCCGCCGTCTTCGTTGAACTTGACGTGTCGGCTGCTGAAAACTCGTCGTGTTGTTACGTCGAGGAG